GATAGATAGATAGATAGATAGATAGATAGATAGATAGATAGATAGATGATAGATAGATGTGTAGATAGATGATAGATAGATGTGTAGATAGATGGATAGAAAGATGATAGAAAGATGGATAGATAGATACTTTATTGATCCCGAAGGAAATTACATGGCGATCTGTAGCTCTCATACACACAAACAACAAGATAAAAACACACCAGAATAAAATATATATAATATTAATAAATAATAAAAACCTAGTATTAAAAAAGATTGATAATAATTAAACAAGCAACCCAAGAGGAGATAAAGCAGCAACTATGTTAGGGGACAAAAAACCAGCTAGCTTCTCTGGTTCCTGCCAGGATTGGCCGAATTATACAGCCTGATGGCACGAGGGACAAACGAGTTCTTTAGTCTCAGTAGAACACCTCATTGAATGGAGTCTAGAGCTCAATGAACTTTGCTGGTTAGAGAAGACAGAGTACAAGGGGTGGCCCTGATTGGACATGATCGCCCTGATCTTGGAGTGCGTCCTCTGCTCCACCACCTTCTCCACAGAGTCAAGGCCCAGACCCACCACAGAGCCCGCCTTCTTAATGAGCCTATTCAGCACTCGGATGCCCATCTTCCTAGTGCTGCCTCCACAACACACAACACCAAAAAAAAGTATACTGGACACAATGGATTGGTAGAACATATGCAATAACTTAGAACAGACCCTGAAAGAGGCCAGCCTTCTGAGAAAATACATTTTGCTCAGCCCCTTCTTGTACACAGCATCCATATTAGCAGTCCAGTTCAGCTTGTTGTCCAGCTGTAGCCCCAGATATTTATAGGCTGAGACCACCTTAATTTCCTATCCTTCAATAACAATGGGCTGCAAAGAGGGTGGAGCTCTGCGGAAATCCAACACCACCTCTTTGGTTTTAGTGGTATTCAGCAAAAGTTGGTTCTGATGGGACCACCCAACAAAGTCCTTCACCAGGCCCCTGTACTCCCCCTCCTCCCCCTCCCTAATACATGCCACAATAGCAGTGTCATCAGAGAACTTCTGCATGTGGCATGTATCAGAGTTGTACTGAAAGGCAGTGGTGTAGAGAGTGAAGAGGAGGGGCGAGAGCACTGTACCCTGAGGTGCTCCAGTACTGCTGATCAATGTTGAGGACCTACAACCCCCAACTCGGACAAACTGGGGCCTGTTGGTCAGATAGTCCGATATCCAGTGCACCAGGTGGGCGTCCACAGACATGGTGTTAAGTTTCTCCTGGAGAAGGCTGGGATCGATTGAATTAAAAGCACTGGAGAAGTCAAGGAATAGCATCCTCACCATACACCCACCCACATCAAGGTATGTGAGGGCAAGATGTAAGAGGTACATAACAGCATCCTCAACACCCATCTTCTCCTTGTAAGCAAATTGAAGGGGGTCTCTCACCGCCAACACTTGAGGATGAACAAGCTGAAGGACGAGTTGCTCCAGTGTTTTCATCACATGTGATGTGAGTGCAACTGGCCTGTTGTCATTAAGCTCCCGGGGTTGTCTTCTTTGGAACTGGAACGATGCAGGATGTTTTCCACAGTGAAGGAACTCTCCCCAGCCTCAGACTCAAGTTGAAGACCTGCTGTAAGGGTTCACCCAGCTCCTCAGCACAGGCTTTCAAGAGACTCGGGCTGACCTGGTCCAGACCTGCAGCCTTCTTCGAATGGAGATGTCGTAGCTCCCTGGTCACCTGGTCCACCGTTATGGATGGAGGAGTTAAGATGGGAGTGGCTGGCACCTCCAAGACTGGAAGAGAGGCATCTTGAAGAGGAACAGTATGTACATGATCAGGGGAGGCCGGTGGGGGTGAGCAGCTGGTCACTGGGGGACTGAACCGATTAAAAAATGAGTTCAGATCCTCAGCTCTCTGGAGGCCCATACAGCCCACCCTTCCCCTGCTGCTGCAACCAGTAATAGTTTTCATGCCATTCCAGACTTCACGCATGTTATTATCCTCCAGCTTCTTCTCAAGCTTTTTGCTATATGCCTCCTTAGCTTCCTTCAGGCAGATTCTCAGTTCTTTTTGTACCTTCCTCAGCATCACACAATCTTTGCTCCTAAATGCCCATTTCTTCTTATTTAGAACTTCCTTCACTCCAGCAGTGATCCACGGTTTGTTGTTGGCAAAGCACTTTACTGTTTTAACAGGTACCACCTGGTCCATACAAAAGTTCAAATAGTCTGTCATGCACCCCACCGCCCCCTCCAGGTCATCCCATGTGCGTTAACCAATAAATTCCAGTCAGTAGTGGCAAACCAATCCCTTAGTGCATGCTCTGCTTCAGGGGACCACCTTCTGACCTGCCTTGTAGTTACAGTTTGCCTCTTCACCAGAGTAGTATATATGGGTTGTGCAAATGAACAAGGTTATGATCAGATTTACCCAAGGAAGGGAGGGGTGAGACAGAGTATGCGTCCTTGATATTAGCATACAACAAATCTAATGTTTTATTTTTCCTAGTGGGACAGCTTACGTATTGGTGGAAGGAGGCAAGAGTATTACCCAAAGTGGCATGGTTAAAATCCCCAGAAATGAGGAAAAATGCATCTGGGTGTTGAGACAGTAGCTCCATAGTCGTGTTGAATATAGACACACGCACTGCCTCAGCATCAGCCTTCGGAGGTATGTAGACGCAGAGCATGATGACGTGTGAGAACTCACGTGGTATGTAGTAAGGTCTGATGCTAACCGCTAGCAGCTCCAAGTCATGACTGCATTTTACAGTTTTAACAGTCAGGTGATTAGGGTGACACCAGCGCTTGTTAGCATACAGGATGAGTCCCCCTCCTTTGCTTTTTCCGCTGGAATTGGGATCCCGATCAGCTCTCACAGCGGAGAAGCCAGGCAGGCCCACATTAGCGTCCGGTATGTAGCCGGTTAGCCACGTCTCGGTGAAGATAAGCAGATTGGCGTCTCTGTAGCTTTGCTGGCTCCCGATCAATGCGGTAAGCTCATCCATCTTGTTGGACAGTGCATTAACATTTCCAATAACCACAGAGGGAACTGGTGGTTTCAAAAGCCTCCACTTTTCAGCTCTAGCCCACATTCTAACTTTGTGTTTACGACCAGCTCGACATCCCCGGTACTTGCGCCTTAGCTCCTTAGGAATCAGGTGGCGTATACCAGCCTTGGCATAGTTTGATAGTTCCAGTAACTCCTCACTCGAATAAACAAATCTATTAATGCAGGACGGCATTAATAAAATGGGACAAAAGATCACATTCAGTCTGTCAACATTCAGTCGAGCAAACAGACGTGCAGCCGGTCTCAAGCGGCACACCCAACTGAATTGTACACATTTATTACATTTCAGTACTATAGTAAAAGGAAACTTAAACTCTTTAAGAAAATGGAGGGGAAAAAAATCATCCTTAAATTAAAAAAACAACTACTAACTAATGTACTAGGATCAATATAGTTGTCCAGTCACCCAACCTTACCACCTAGGGGCCAAATTAGATGTTGTAAGAATGTGTAGCAGTAGTTAAGACCTCCCAGTAAGAGTGTCCATTACAAGTTACATCTTGCTTTTAATGAATGTGTAGTTTTTAAATGTTGTGGAGATTGTCAGTCATGTAGGACATGACAAATAAACCTGGACTTCTGTACATGAAGACATTTTGCTTCCCATCTCCTTTCTCAATTCCCAGCTTTCCAGTTTTGAATTGAGAAAGCTCCCCTAAAATAAAGCTTTTCTTTAATGAGTAAAGTGTTTGGAGCCTTGTTCTGTCACATGTTCATGCAGATGTGGCGTAATAGATTTATTATAAAACTGTTTGATGACTGGGTTCTGAAACGTTCTTTAACCTAAAGTTTTGAATGTATGTTCCAATCATCTCTTTACTGGTTGTTGTAAAAACTTTAGACTTCAGTCTCAGAAGTGTACTGTAAATGCTTTAAATACCTTTCAGTTCTATCAAAGCTTTTCCATATTTCTGAGTGTTTCCTGGTTTCATTTTCTGTTTTCTTTATAACTCTTGCTCTTGGTTTTGAGTGTGCATGTCTTTTGATACTTTTAGGGTTGGGGTAATTGTGTGTTTTAATGTGACTGTGAGTTTTGCAGGCTTTACATTTGGCTGTTTAACTTTGGCTTCAATACATTTTTGTGTCACAGACATGAAATCCTGGAAGAAGCTCGTAGGGAAGGCGTGCCGTTCGCTCAGTGGGATGGACCAACCGTTGTGGCTTGGTTAGAGGTACGAAACCTTAGCAAAATGACGTTCTCAAAAAATCCCAGAGTTTAAAGTTTACAGTCAAGCCTTTACACTTAGGAATAAATGATACTGAGACATTCTTGCCAGTGTATCATAGTAACATTTGCATTTGTTACAGTCGACAAAGAGAATAAGAAAACATTTGGTTTTCTTTTAACATTTGTCCAGGTATTTAAAATAAACAACTTGGTGTAAAACCTTTTATTTAAATTTTAAGTGTAAATTCTAGTTTCTATTTTAAATTGCCTAAATATTTGCGCCAAGTCCTATATTGTAGTGCAATTTGCAAAGATTCACTTGGTAAGTTTCTTTTAAATAATTTTAACAGTTTTTATATCTACAGGACATGAAATTGTAATTTATTGGTTTTTAATCCAACAGTACAATGTTTCAGAGCTCTGTCATGATACAGTGTCACAAGAAAACATTAAAGGCTCCAGTATACTGCCGCGTGTGTACGTTCACGCGTACGTACGCGTGTACTGTATGCAGAGGGTTCAAACATTAAACTCCAGCATCCACCCCGAGCAGCTGCAGAGCAGCTTCACAGACAAGGTGCGTTTACCTTCAGGACAAATTGAGGTCGCCGATTGGTCATTTGCTGACACGCCTACTTGATTGATTGACAGGTCAGAAAAAAGAAAAAAAGTGAGCGCTGGCAGCTTCCGCCGCAGTGGTGTTCTGTGTTTATATGTCGTTAATAAAAAGATCTAAAAAATTTTAAAAACCAGAGCGCTGGCTCTACAGCCCACACATCAGACCAGCCCACCAGGAAATCTCCAGACTCTCCCGCAGCCATGCTGGACCTGAGTTTAATTCGCTTGTGACAAATTCCTCCATTTCTCACCATTTCAATCATGGCATCAAAGGAGGAGGAAGAGATCTCTGCCTCTTGGCAAAAAAACAAAAGAAATGGCCAGATCAGGGATGAAGAAGGGGAATTTAATACATTGGTGTCGCATACAAAACAGTCCGTCGCTGGGCAGTTTATTGTGCGACACCGCGTACGCGTATGCGGTCGTAAAAATGTGAGCTTTTACACGGAGGGTACGCACGTACCTCTGCGTGTGTACGTGCGTACCTCTGCGTATGGATGTACGCGGCAGTATACTGGGGGCTTAATTTGCTCTAAACTGTTCGGCATTTTGTCACAATACTAGGCTTGTCACGATAACAAATTTTGCTGGGCGATTAATTGTCTCAGAAATTATTGCAATAAACGATACTATTGTTTGAAATTTGACAATAATTAGTAATTGTCAAATTTAAGAAGAAATGTTGGTTATTTTTTGTATGTAGTATCTTTTTTTGACCACTGAATTACAGTATAAGACTGAACCGAAGGATCGATAGTGCGGGAGCGAGCAGCGTGTCTCTTTAAGAAAAATGGGAGGGAGGCCCCTTGACGTAACATGGGCTGTCTCATTCCTGTTTTTCAGTTCTCAAAATGGCGGATGCTCAGTGTGACTTGAGCTCTTTAGCATAGCAATTGTCATAGAAAGCTTTTAATTAAAAAAATACAGTAAACAAGTTCTCAACTTCTTTTTGCAGAGAAAAACAACTTTTTAGATGAAGGCACGGGTTTCAACTAGGGCTGCAACTAATGATTACTTCAGTAATCAATTCATCGGCCTATTAGTTTTCGATTAATCGTTTAATTGGGAAAAAAAGCCAACGTTTTAATTTCCACCCCTTTATTCCAAAATTGAACATTTGACTGACATAGAAATTCACACAAAAAACAGGTTGCTATTTGACTGTGTTAGTAAAATATCGAATAACAAAAAATAAAAGTTAGTCAAATAGCTTAAAAAAATAAATGTACACAAAAATATATACAAATGTATCTTTATACCTGCACAATATGTAGCTACTTTGTAAAATGTGTCATTGAGGGAAGAGTGTAACCTGGATTAAAAGTGTGGACTATTGTAACCTGAATTAAAAGTGTGGATTATTGTAACCTGGATTAAAAGTGTGGATTATTGTAACCTGGATTAAAAAAGTGTGGATTATTGTAGTGAAGCCTTCGTCTTCAACCATCGACAGAGGTCTCATGTCAGTGACGATCATGTTCAGGATGTTTCAGTGAAGACAGCTGCTGCTGTGGTGTCCATGATGTCTGTCCATCATGAAGGATGTTGTTGTTTGTTGTTGTTGTTGTTTTCTGGAATGAGACAGTAAATATGTATTATAACATAATTTACAGCAACTCAAGAAATGCCTTGTTTCACTTACAGCGTTAGGTTCAGGCAAAAGTAGCTAAAAGAGCAATGAAACACACACACACACACATAAAATACTTAATTACACACATTTGAGTAGATGTAATAAGTTACTTTAATTCCTGTTTAAATGCAATTCATCCTGCCATACCTGCAGTGTCTTCAGACTTTGCCAGCAAATTAAAAGTTGAAGCTTAATCATTAAATTATTATCTTTGTGTTAGATTTATTTATAAATCACATTTAAACACTGCTTGTTCCAATTAAATTAAATAAAAAGTAACACACGTTCTCTATCACCGTCATTAATCAGATAAACAAACAAACAAGCAGCAGCTTCATCTACCAGACAGACTGACGTTACGTTTTCTCTCTTGAAACAGAACAATGTGTTAAATTGTAGAGACTCACCTGCAACACGAGTTGTATCAGCTGTTCAGCTCCTTCCTCCTCCTCGTGACTCCGACATGTTTACGTTTATCAGCATGGTTCTCCCGTGTTGTGTCGTAAATTTTCAAAGCTGCATGTTTCTCAGTTTTTATCTTTGTGAAGAGCTCCCACTCTTTGGAGGACTTGGGTTGAACAGTTTTATCTGTGTCTGTCATTTGTAAAATTTACTTAATTTCCTTTGAAAACAGACTCTGCTCTGCCTCCCCCCTCGCTCTGTTCAACTCGCGCTGCAGAGTTTTTTTTTCAAACTTTATTCAATCAGTCAGCATTGACAATGAACTGCCCGTGAACAAAACGGCTCCGCAGCGCTGTGAAAGACGCATAATCGCAAGACACAACGAATCGATAATGAAATTCGTTGCCAACGCTTTTAATCATTTTTATCGATTTTATCAATTCGTTGTTGCAGCCCTAGTTTCAACCATGAATTTTAGAGCTTTGACAAGATGGAGGTTTTTTCCCAAGGTTGGCCTGTTAGCTTAGCTCGATCCAAAAACACAATTTTGGACGATTAAAACAGATTTTAAAGAGAAAGGGAGAGGTCACTGAAGAGCACTGGAGTTGAGCTATTTGTCATCCAGTGTCTTCAGTAGAAAGAGAGAGACCCGAAGAAACGATAAAGCTGATAAATGAAAATGAGGTTGATAATTTTCATTGTTTGATTAATTGATTAATTAATTTATTGTTTATTGCGACAGGCCTACAACAACAAACTTCACAGTGTTTCACTGTGTTTTTATGTGACAGACCAACACAAAAAAGCACACAACTGTAAAGTGGAATAAAATGACACGATTTTTAATTCCTTTACGTAAATAAAATTGAATTAAAAAACAAAAGTTGAGTTAAAACACATTCTGATGCATGCTTGGTAATTCAGGTAGAAAAATGTAATACCATACCATACCATACCAATTTATTTATATAGCACTTTAAACAGTGACAAAGCACACCAAAGTGCTGTACAGGGACAAACAGAACAAGCACATAGCAACAGATTACATAACAGGACACCAAAAACGTAGAAACCAACAAAAACTGTAATGGATAACAACAACAACTGCAACATGACCAACACAGTGTGATGCACACAGACTCAGCACAGATCACACAGTGCTGAAAGCCAGGGAATAAAAGTGTGTTTTTAAGCGAGATTTAAAAACTGTGAGGGAGGGGGCCTGTCTAACGAGCAGAGGTAACTCATTCCAAAGTCTTGGGCCTGCTACAGAGAAGGCCCTTTCACCTTTGCGCTTGAGACGGGTTCCTGGGACTGTTAGGAGCAACTGGTCTGCTGATCTGAGAGAACGTGGTGGGACATACGGCTGGAGCAGATCAGTAAGATAGGAGGGGGCAGAGCTGTTTAGTGATTTATAGACATACAAGAGTATTTTGAATTTGATTCGAAGGTGAACCGGAAGCCAGTGTAGGGAGGCCAAAACAGGAGTAATGTGCTCTCTTTTGCTTGTGCTGGTCAAAAACCGGGCTGCTGCATTTTGGACCAGTTGGAGTCTAGCTATGGAGGTCTGACTGATACCAAAAAGGAGTGAGTTGCAACAGTCGAGCCTGGATGTAATGAATGCATGAATTACTGTCTCCAGGTTATTTTTGGACAATATGGGCTTCAGCTTAGACAGTCGCCTCAGCTGGAAAAAGCAGGATTTAACAATCATATTTACATGATTGTTGAGTTTCAGAGAAGGGTCAAGTATCACTCCTAGATTAGTGACTCTTTGTTTCACTAACGGTGACAGAACGGATAGGTCGATACAGTGGTTGGTGATTGTGTCATTGGGAGGAAACAGCATAACTTCAGATTTCTTCTCGTTGAAACTCAAGAAATTTAAAGCCATCCAATCTCTGATGTCAGCCAGGCAGTCCAGTAACGGTTGAATAGAGCGAGTACCGTTGAGTCTGAGGGGGAAGTAGATTTGGCAGTCGTCGGCGTAGAAATGAAAAGGTATGTTATGTTTCCTAAAAATAGCACCTAGTGGCAGCAGGTATAAAGAAAATAAAAGAGGACCAAGGATGGAACCTTGCGGTACCCCCCATTTAAGCGCTGCCGAGGCTGAACTAAAATCTTTGATGGAGACACAAAAGGACCTGTCAGCGAGGTAAGATCTAAACCATTCGAGGGCTGACCCAGTGATGCCCACCCACTGCTCTAACCTCGCAATGAGGATCTCGTGGTCGATTGTATCAAAGGCAGATGTGAGGTCCAGTAAGAGAAGGAGCGCAGAATCACCAGCGTCTGTGAATAGGAGAATGTCGTTAAAAACCTTGAGAAGAGCAGGTTCAGTGCTGTGGAGA